CATTCCTTTACCCTAAGTCTATATTTCTATATTTATCTTTTAAGATAAGATGAAATTCTTGTATGCAGCAGATATCAGAGTTTTTGTATCTGGTTAGCCAATCTGCGCCTCTTTAGAGGACAATTTAAGCCATTCACATTAATTGAGAGTATTGATAAGCCTGGTAGTATTTTGGGTATTGAGTTTTTTGAAATTCCAGTGGACATTTTTAATCCTTTAGCCACTGTGGAAGTTTGAATTTGACCAAAAGTTTCTGAGTGAATTTATTTTGGTGGTAGATGATTGTGCTGGTCATTGTGGAGGATAGGTCTGAGAATATCCTGGAGAGCTGGTTTAGTTATGGCAAATTTCTTCAATATGTGTCATTAAAGTATTTAATTTCTCCATCATAAATGAAACTCAGTTTAGCTGGATACAGAATCCTGGGTTGAAAGTTATTTTGTCTTAGGAGATTAAAAGTTGATGACCATCCTCTTCTAGCTTGAGAAATTTCAGCATAGAGGATCTGCAGTCATTCTAATATTCTTCCCATTGTAGGTTATGGTTTTCTTATGTCTGGCTGCTTGCAGAATCTTCTCCTTCATATTAACTTTAGTGAAGTTAATTATAATGTGTCAGGGTGATGTTTTATTTGGATTGAGTTGTGCTGGGGTTCTGAAACTGTCTGCTATCTGAATTTCAGAATCTCTTGCCATGTTTGGGAAGTTCTCCTCGATTATCTCTTGAGTAGAGCAGAACATCTGGGTCTTTGGAAGCAACCTCATCGCCTTCAGGAATTCTTATGAGGCGAATATTAGTTTTTTTTGAATTATCTCACAGCTCTCTGAGATAATGGTCCATTTTTGCTCTCCACTTTTCTTCCTCTTGGAACATTGGGAGCATTCAAAAGCTTTGTCTTCCATGTCAGAGATCCTTTCTTCTGCCTGCTCCATTCTGTTACAGAGGGATTCCTCTGTATTTCTCAGATCTTTGAGGGCTGCAAGTTCTTGCCTCAGTGTGTCAAAATCTTTGGTGATTTTGTCTTTGAATTCATTGAATTCTTGAGACAACTTTTGAAATGCTCCTTGAATTTCTAATTTCAACTTTACCTCCATTCTGTTAATTTTATTTGCAATCCAAATTCTGAATTTGATTTCTGACATTTCACCCATTTGTTTATGAATAGGATCTTCGATTGTGTCTCCTTTGTCATTCCTTGGAGGAGTTGATCTACTCTGATTATTCATGTTGCCACAGTTTTTTCACTGATTTTGCCCCATGATTATTTTTCACTATTTCACTGGTAAGGTGAAATTGAGTTGAGGGCTCCTGGAGTTGTACTTAACCAGCCCTTTACCAAAGAACTGGGACTGGTGATTATGGGTTTTCCCCTAGAACTTTACAAAGGTCCCTTTCAGTACTACAGCCCAAAACTCTGGGGAACTGCTTGGTGTGGTGCGGCTAGATGGCTCTGACCTGCATTCAGCTAGTCTCTGTCCAATCCTAGTAAATCAGTGGCTTTGAGCTGAAATCTCAGCTTTGGAGATATATAAGCAACTAAGACACCCCGCCGCCTGATAGGCAACAAGTGGAAGAGGAGAATCCCACACTCCCACAACAACACAACCAGGGTACAACCTTGGTGGGTCCCCAGGTGATGGGCCCAGGTCAAGAGTTACAAAGCAATTGTCCCCATCAACACAAACACCAATCAGGTGGGAGAGTTCAAAAGGTCTTCAGCATCTAAGCAGCAGGGGGTTCACTGGCAGCTCAAGTGCAGCTTATTCTGCTGCTCTGTGGAGTCAGAAAGGCCCGCCCAGCAAAATAGTCCAGGGGGGCTGGTGCCTCCTTCCCCACCTTGCACCTCTATTACACTGGTAGCCCCATGGGGCTGTGGTCCAGTTCCCTCCAAAGAGCAAATGTGTCAGGGATTTGGGCCTTCCGGAATCAGAGGGAAGTGAATGCCTCATCAGCCAAGTGACCACTCTCTGCCACCAGCTGGCTGGGGGAGTTGAAGTCTGATTACCTTAGGTGCTCAATCGAAACTGGGGAGTGTGCCACCTGAGCTTGTCTGAAATCAGAGGTTAACAAAACAGCAAATGTTTTTTGCCTTCAGATACTGTGCCTCTGCCCCAGCCACTCTGTTTCTCTGGTATCCCTGCGATGCAAGATCTAGCTCTCTCTGGCAGTCCACAGAATTGGGGAGGTGTCTCTCTGAAATTTGACCCCATCGTGATCTCTCTATTAATGCTGCTGCTAGGTGGGCGATGTCTCCACTTGGGTTCCCACACCTCAGCAGTTCTCAAGCCTTCACCCATGGTATGGAGACCCAAGGCTCCACTCACTGCTGAGTTGCTCTTTCTTAGAGCCAAGCCAGACCCCTTACTTCCTGTGCCTTTCTGCACTGTTACCAGATTCACAGTTACAGTGTAGCTGTGCTACCTCAGACCATGTAATGCCCAGTCTTAACAAAGAATCATGAATGTTCTAGCCTCTGCAAGGGTTGGGCTTCTGGACCGTCAGGCCAGGAGGACGGGTGGACTGGGAGTTCAAAGTTGCAGGGGAAATATTTGTTCAAACTTTATACCAGGCAAGAGAATACCCAGGCTCACAGCAGGGACTCTCTGGAGAAGGATTCCCAGCTTCCAGCAACTCGCTCCTGTGGGGTGAGAGAAGAGGACCTCAGTTCACTGCTCACTAGTAGAGATCTCACAGCAAACAAGCAAGCAACTCTCTTGGGGGAGGGGACAGACACATGTCCTCTTTGGGGTGGGTTCTGTACCTGAAATTTGTTTCCTTGGAGTTTCAGCTTGCCTCAGCAGAGAAGACGTGCAATTATCAATCTTTTCTCTCAGCTAGACTTCCACCCTTAGTTATGTTGGGTTCTTTCTGGCTGTTATCTTTCTCTCTGGACAGGAGCTTCTGTTGAAAGCTGGCTTCATTTGAAAGTTGGCTTCAGTTGGCTATCATCCTCCACTCCCCTTTGCTCTTGTTGAATGTAAAAATTGGCGTTAGAGAAAATAGACAACCTGAGGTTTTAGCAGAACACAAGGCACATTGAAACAAAATGAACAAACATAAAAACAATCAGACACACATTCAATCAAAAACAAAAACAAACAAACCAAAAAACTTGAATAGGCTGATGTAAGCACTCTCAGTAACCATAAGAGGAAGGGGAGGGCTTGGCGCTCGTAGCCCAGCAGCCAGGGCACCAGCCTCACACACCAGAGTTGGCAGGCTCGAACCAAGCTAAGGGCCCACCAAACAATAATGATAACCACAACCAAAAAACAGCCAGGTGCCATGGTAGGTGCCCGCAGCCCCCAGGCCACCTGGGAGGCTGAGGCAAGAGAACCACTCAGTCCAAGAGAGTTAGAGGTTGCCATGAGCTGCGACACTACAGCACTCTACCAAGGGCAACATAGCAAGACTCTGTCTAAAAAAAGAAGAAAAAAATGGAAAGCAGAGGAAAAATAATAATTAAAAAATTTTTTAACAACTCCTACAAGAAAGAAAAATGGAAAAAAAGCAAAAAGAATGAGTAAAAAGAGAAAAAAAGTAATAAGATTATTTACATATATGTAAATACAAAATTATTTTGTATAATTTTGTATGTACAAAATTATTTACACACACATACATATAAAAACATGCAACTATATATTCCGTAGGGATTGACTTTAGTAGGAATGCATTTATGTTGCAATATACTTCTGGACACCAGGTGGCGCCGTGAGTGGGTCCCAGGCTTAAATTGTTCTTGGTGTTTGCCTGAATAACTGCTTGGCGCCTAGACCCTGCTGAACTGCTGATTCCACCAATCTCAAAATACCTTCATAGACAGGTTTCACAAATTCTCCCAACAACAGTTCCTGTGAAGTGCGGGATATCCTGGGCCAGTTCCCAGGTAGGCCAACTGTCTGTGGGTGAGACTCAAATCACTGTGCCTGGTCCACATGGAAAGGTGTCTATGGCACCTGCCATCTCCTAAATTCCAAAATAATGGCCTCTTTCTATCCAGGATCTTTCCCATCTGAGTGTCTCTCCCTCCACCTAACCACGGTGGTGCCACACCAGAGAGCGCCCCACTCTGGCCACCTAATTCTGCTCAGTAGTCCACACTTCACCAATCTTTCCACATAATTCCTAGTTTCCTCATTAACTGGGAACTGTAATCCTCCGTGGTGGGGCTGGTTGCTGCTGCTGCTGCCCGCAGCCACTGCAGCCATGGGGCAGAACTTTTCCTGGAAGTCTCCGCAGCTCCAGATTACACTCCAAGTCCAGCAATCCACCACCTCACTGCACACCCCAAACTGCCACTCCACACCAATAGTCCACACCGGGAATGATCTAGCCCACTCACTCTCACTCTTGTTCCAGGAGAGCTGAGCTAAACATCCTTTCCATCTGCCATCATGGTCTAGAGTCTACATCACTCTTATGAGGAGGATTTTTTATTTTTATTTTTTTTAAACCCTATTTTGTAAAATAAATCTGCGGTTCAGGGAAGAAAAGTAAGTTACCCAACATCACACAACCAATATTACCTAGGTTTTTAAATATTGTATTTCTTGGTTTGGGAAGGATTTTTTTTCCCCTTTTTTGAGACAAAAGTCTTGCTCTGTTGCCCTGGGTAGAGTGCTGTGGCATCAGCCTATCTCACAGCAACCTCAAATTCCAGGATTCAAATAATCCTCCTGCCTTAGCTTCCAGAGTAGCTGGAACTATAGATGCCTGTCACACCCAGCTAATTTTTCTATTTTAGTAGAGACCAGGTGTCGGTCTTATTCTTGCTCAGGTTGGTCTTGAAGTCCTCAGCTCGAGGGATCCTCCCACCTCAGCCCCTCAGAGTGCTAGGAGTACAGGTGTGAGCCACTATGCCCGGCCAGGATTTTTAAAATTATAGTTTCTGTCTGGAAGCTTGTTCCTGTATAAAAACACAGGGTTTGGTAAAATCAGTAGATTTAAACTGCAGTATCATTAGTCTAATCATTAGTTTTTTTCTTTTTTCATCATAGGCTACTGAATTTAACCAATGGAAGAATGTTCTGTTCATCATACAGTTTCTTCTTTCCTGTTTTTTGGGGTAAGAAACCATAGTAAGTAGAAGCATTGGTCTATCATATCTCTTGACAAGTTAAATCAAAGACCTTCTGTCTTTCTGCAAACTCCTTTGTCTGTGTTTCTCTGTGCTTGTACAGCAGAGCTGATTAGGAGCCAGGATACCTGGGAGCCCAGCCTAAAAGACTAGGAGCAAGCGCAAAGCTGTTCTGGTTTCGACAATTATGTTAATATCCCATTCTACTCCAAGTATGATGTTGCTTATTGATTTCTGAAAGTTTATTTGAAATGAAGTCAGCTGACATCTGAAGTACACAACTGAGGGTTTTTTTTTTTTTTTTTTGAGATAGAGTCTCACTATGTCACCCACAGAAGGGCGCTGTGGCATCACAGCTCACAGCAATCTCAAACTCTTGGGTTTAAGCCATTCTTTTGCCTTAGCCTCTCAAGTAGCTGGGACTATAGGCTCCCACTACAACACCAGGTTATTTTTTTGTTCCAGTTGTCATTGTTTAGTGGGTTCAAACCCATCACCCTCAGTGCATGTGGCTGGCACCATAACCACTGTGCTACAGGCACCAGGCCAACTGAGGGTTTTTTGTTTGTTTGTTTGCTTGCTTGCTTTTTAAGGAGATAAGGTCTTACTAGTGTTGTCCAAGCTGGACTGAAACTCTTGGGCTCCAGTAATCCTCCTACCCCAACTTTCCTAGTCATTGGGACTACTGGCTTATGCCACCATGCTAGGCAGTACCGTATTTTTGTTTTGTCACTATGTCCTTAGTTTTTCAAGATCTCTTCCTCACATTATCATGTGGCAATGACAGCCTTTTCTTATAGTGCTGTACCTGCTCTATTCAAAGACATTCTGAAGAGAAATGTTGAGGCTGTGGTATTGTCCAACAACTAGGCTTTTTGTTCTTGAAATTTTCTTTAGGTGTGTCTCTGTGTTGAAAGACCATGTTGTGTGTGTCTATTTTAATCTAAAAACTTGAAAATTTCTTTGCATGAATAGGTGATACATGTAACTAGTAAAAAATTTAAAGGTGCAAAAGAATAAAGAGGGATTATCAGCTACCCTCCTTTCTTCCTGTTTTTCTGGACACCGGGCCCTGGGCTTGGGCTGTCCCTTCTCTCCTGACTGTGCTAAGGGGCGTCACCAGGCTTTGTACTCCAGGATTTAACACCAGTGGCCCCTTGAGTTCTGAGGCCTTGGTCTTGCCTGAACCACTCTGCCAGCATCCTAGTGTCTCCAGCCTTCATTAGGGATTTCTCAGCCTTCACAATCACCTGAGCCAATTCCGCTGACAAATTCTCTCTCGTGTGTCTGTATACAATATCCTGTTGGTTCTGTCTCTCTGGAGAACCCTGACTAATAAACATTTGGTATTGGGGAAGCTGACTATCATCCCTTCTTACTGTATTCTTTACAACATGATGAAAGAGATGTGATATTGTTTCCTTGCAAAAGGAATAATAGGCTGTAATAAGCATACAAGGCTTCTTAAGCTTAAAAGCAAATTTTTATTAGTGCAGTGAAAGCAGAAAATTGCTTAATTGCAATTGCTGAGCAATAACCAGACAGCATATACTTATAACACTGGCAGACCACAACTACAGTCCAAATATGAGGGCACGGAATATTTTACAGATCATAAAGGTGAAAACATGAGCAAAAAAATACAAGCAATCTCCCTTGCCAAATTATTTGATCCTGTCCAACTTCTGCCTCTTAAAAGATACAAATGGCATTTTCAAGAATTTTTTAAAATTATTTTTTCCAGAATTATATTTTGGGATTTTGATCTTCTGGGATTGTGATTTTCAGAATTTATGACTTCAGGGATTTTGATCTTTCAGGATTTCCACATTAGGGCCCAAACCTGCCAAAGAAGACTTGTAATTCTCTGTTGAGTTACAGTGAAGGGCTCCGCATGAGGAAATGGTACTATCAGGAGTTTGTAAATAGAACATATGATGGAATGACGTTGTTTCAGGAAGATAAACTGGATTCAGGGAGCTAAAGATAAATCACAGAGTGGAATTTAAGTTGAAAACCAGAATTTTTTAAAGCTACTGCTACAGTTCTCTTTAATGTTGCTGAGTCATTGTGGCTTCCAGTTCCTTCATACCAGAGGCAGGCACCAGGCCCCCTGGATCCTGAGAGGATTATCCTAATCTGTGCCTGCCCCAGTACCAGGCAGGCTCTTTGATCCCACCGAAGCAGTAATACATTCCCTGAGTAAAACCCCAAAGAATCCCATTGCAGGATAAAAAAAGTATTCTAATTCTTGAATCTTCAACTCATACTACTAATGACACAGTGTACAAGAGAAGGCAAGCAGGGTTCCCCTCACTGTGTGAGCATGGAGTGCAGAACCTGTAAAGAGTGTGAGTATCCCCATCATCTCCATCAAGGCAGAGCTTAGGGGAAGATTGGTGCACCACGTTTATTCCATGACCTGGTGCCTCTTTAGTTCACCGATGAGCCCTTGGGTACTTGGGGGAAGATAAATTTACTTGAAATTCTTTGAAATCAGGAAGTACAGGAGAATAATGTGCTTGGGTGGCATTGTGGTTGGTAGAAAGTGTATAAAAATCGAGCATTTGTTGTAGGCAGGATAGTTGCATCATGTTAGGCAGAACTATTACCTTGTTATAAAACATCCCTGCATTATCTGGATAGTTGCATCATGTTAGGCAGAACTATTACCTTGTTATAAAACATTCCTGCATTGAACAGTTGTGTTCAATCTCCATATATGCCTGTGATGAGCAGCAAGTCACTAAGTTGGTCATTTGAATTCTGTTTGTGATCACCATGAGTGTACCACACAGCCTTAGGTAAATCAGTTATTTGTTGTGCCATTCTTAGAAACATGAAGAAATCTTTGAGCAGAAGTTCTGGTCCAGAGGTTTCCACCTGGGCACTCTGACCCCAAGAGCCCTGTGAGCCAGAACGTGCAGCTGGCACCTGCTGTCTGAATAAATGTGCACCAAATATATGTGCTGCTATTTGTCAAATGTACATAGATGATATAATGACTTAAATATACAGACAGGAAAAAAGTTACTATGAATTAAGCAAAGCTTTAAAATATCTTCACATTTTATTATTATTATTATTTTTTAGAGACAGAGTCTCACTTTATTGCCCTTGGCGTCATAGCTCACAGCAACCTCCAAATCCTGGGCTTAGGCGATTCTCTTGCTTCAGCCTCCTGAGTAGCTGGGACTACAGGTGCCCACCACAACGCCCAGCTATATTTTTGTTGCAGTTTGGCGGGGGCTGGGTCTGAACCTGCCACCCTCGGTATATGGGGCCGGCGCCTTACTTGCTGAGCCACAGGTGCCACCCTACACATTTTATTTTTTTTAATTTTTATCTATCTTTTGAGACAGAGTCTCAGTATGTCACCCTCGGTAGAGTCCTGTGGCGTCACAGCTCATAGCAACTTCAAACTCTTGGGCTTAAGCAATTCTCTTGCCTCAGCCTGCCAAGTAGCTGAGACTACAGGTGCCTGCCACAACTCCCAGCTAGTTTTCTGTTGCAGTTGTCTTTATGGCTTAGCTGGTCTCGGCTGGGTTTGAACCCTCCAGCCTCGGTGTATGTGGCTGGCACTGTAACCTCTGTGCTACGGGCGCCGAACCAACTTCGCATTTTATTAATTTATAGATGCTAAAATCAAAAACAGTCACGTGGAGGTTGGCAATTTTGGTATTAACAGTGGTGTGGTTTCCCTTGTACTGAGTTAACAGAGGTTCTTTTAGTTTAGAATCTTGGTCTTAGCACTGTACAGGTCCTTACTGTTTCTTTCTTTCTTTCTTTTTTGCTGGAGATTCATTGAGGGCACAAAGATCCAGGTTACACTAATTGCATTTGTCAAGCAAAGCCCCTCTTATAAATGTGCTCCTCCCCCCAGTAGATTGTTTCTTTAAAAAAAAATGTAATACGCTACTACTTTCATCTTACTGGCTTCCGAGGTGTATTCGTCCTCTCTGGGGTCATCTAGTGGGCACTTTGAGAAGTGCAGCTTTTCTGTCTGGGTCCCAAGTGTTGCTTAGGACTGCCCCTCACTCAGACTCTCCAGAGGTGGAAGAGGGATTCTCCTTCCCTGGCTCAGCCCATGTGGTGAATACGCCCTAGTAGCCCACACTCATAATAGATGTTGGAATCTTAGATCCATGGTATCCACCAGTTTTGAATGCAGGCCAAAGTGGTTTCATTAAGATATAGGTGAAGCCGGAGGCCGTGACAGGCGCCTGTAGTTTTAGCTACTCCGGAAATTAGGCGGGAGGATTCCTTGAGCCCAGGAAAACAAGTCCAGCCTGGGAAACATAGAAGACAGACACCCCCACCCCTGCTATCATCCTTGTTTCTTAAAATAAATAAATAAAGATATAAGATGGAGAAAATATTGCATGATTGGAACAATCCTGGAGTTGGAGTTTTAAAACAAAAATAAAGAATGTCCATGGTCATAGTTTAAGGGTGCATTCAAGTTTAGGAAGACTACAGAAGCTTCTCTGTGGTCCCTGAATTGCACTGGCGCCCCTGTGCCTCCTGTGCCTTTCGTTTTATTAGACTCTGAGTCCCTCCAGTGCAGATGCTGTGGATAATCTTCTCTGACTGCTGGGGCCTGCCAAAGCATGTACTTAGCGACAGCAGGTTGAATATTTAACTTTTTTCATTTTATGCACGAATAAGAGCCTCCAGGGCTCCAAATTGACATTGAATTTATTAAAATGGTAACTTTTTAAAACTTAGATTTTCTTATTTTCTTGTATTTTTGAGACTCACTCTGTCACACTGAATAGAGGCCATGGTATCATAGCTCACAGCAACCTTAAACTCTCTTGGGCTTGAGTAATACTCTTGCCTCAGCCTCCTGAGTAGCTGGAATTACAGGTAGGGGCCGCTAAATCCAGTTAGTTTTTCTAGTTTTAGTAGAGATGGGGTCTTGCTCTTGCTCAGCTCACAACTCCTGAGCTCAAGCAGTTCACCTGCCTCAGCATCCCCCCAAAACTTAGATTTTCTTAAGCCTTAGAGTTCAACTTATAAATACTGTTACTCTATTTATAAAAGCTAATAATTTTTTCTATGAAAGAACATTTACTTTTTTATTTGATTAATGGCAGCTTATTAACTCAGGTTTAACCAATTAAAATTTCCTAAACAATTTACTGTTAATTAGTTCCATTTACAAGTCAGTGGATTAAAACATTTTAAGCTGCATTTACAAATATAATATGCCTGATTTTTCTTCAACAATTCCAACCCCTGAGGGTTGGACTAGCAAAGCCAGTAGATTGTTTTATGTACTTAAGCAACTCTTTGAAATCTAATAAACCAAACTTGGAAATGTGGTAAATCAGCCTTAAAGCATTCAATTACTGTGTACAGACTTACTCAGACTCTTACTCCTTTCACATTAAAATTGCATGTCTAATGTCAACCACACAATTCATATTAAAACCACAGAGTTTCTTTAACTTGTCAAATTGTTTTAATTACCTTAAGAAATACACACATTATTCTGAAGATTATAAAATTTAAGTTTTATAGTAAGTTTTATACTTAAGCTTATTCCTTAACCTAATGTAAACCTTAATATATTTTAATTCTATTTTTTTCTTTTCTCTCTACCATCTCGGTAGTAAATATATTCAGGCCAACAGAGGTTCTGGTGTTGAAGGTTTGTGACCCTGGTTCTGTTAGTAACTATCAGAGATTTAAGCCTAGATAGAGACTAAACGTGGGGGATAAATTCTAGCAAGATGAGTTTACCTAAGCCTCAAGGGCACTGAGCCTTTTCTTAAAGTTGAGTTACTCTATGAGGGAGCCAGGCTCCTGCTTCTTACTGAAAATCTTGTCTCTCTGTGTCTTTTTCAAGTTTTATTCTCAGCCAGTTTTGAGTGTAATTCCTTTCAACCAGGTGTCCTCAAACTATGGCCTGCAGGCCACATGAGGCCCGCTGAGGGCATTTATTCGGTGTTGCCGTGGCTGCCTGTCCTGCTTAGCAGCCGACTCATCCTGGGGTCTGCAGTGCGGCCCTCGAACAGTCTGAGGGACAGTCACCTGGCCCCCTGTTTAAAAAGTTTGAGGACCCCTGCACATTTAATCATCTGATTTGGATGAATGGAGTTTTGTGTCCCACATAGGTTGTAGCTAATTTCCTTTGCTATTTGATTGGAACTAACTAATTCCTTTACCTTTACCTGCCTTCTACACTCTTGTCCTGTGTGTGTGTATGTTTTTCTTGTCTGGTTCTTGTTCAAAATTCTGTAGTCATTTTATTGACAAGTAAGTGTCAATGCTTTATGTTAAATGCCTGGATTAACTTTGGGAACAGGGTACAGGAGTATTATCCTTGCACGTGGAATCCATTCATTTCGATCTCCTTTGTCTGAAGTCCTCAATGCAGGCTGCACATTAGAACCACTGTGGAGCTTTTAGATCTCGCACAGCCAGGGCCCCAATTGAACCAAACTTCCCCTGGGCATCACTGTGTGTTGAAAGTGCAAAGGGTGATTCTGATGCACAGGGAGGATTAAAAACTACTGTTATAGCATGGGTGTAACTGGAAAGATTTCCAGAGGGTAAACTCCTTCTCCTCACCCCCATTTCATGGAAAAGCTTATAGGAAATGCACAGAGAAACTGTGAAGGATACCTCAGGCAGGTTTAGCAAATGCACAGCTGGATCACTTTCCTGTTAAGCAAAGGAAATAAAGGGCGCCTGTAGCTTAATGGGTAGGGTGCCAGCCACATACACCCAAGCTGGTGGATTTGAACCTGGCCCAGGCCAGCTAAACAATAATGACAATTGCAACAAAGAAAAATATCTGGGCATTGTGATGGGCGCCTGTAATCCCAGCTACTTGGGAGGCGGAGGCAGAAGAATCTCTTAAGATCAAGAGTTTGAGGTTGCTGTGAGCTGTGATGCCACAGCACTCTACCGAGGGTGACATAGTGAGACTCTGTCTCAAAGAAAAGAAGAAAAGAAAGAAAAAAAAGGAAAGGAAATAAAATAAAACCAGTTAACAAGATGGCTTAAGGTGTGGGTTTATAAAAATAAAGCTTTATGCTGTGTGTTTCTTCTTACTTGCATGAAGTGCTTTATGTGGGTTGCTTGCCAATCTTCCTAACCTGTTACTATCACCAAGGTGCACTCGGATGTTTGCTCCTTTGCCTCAGGTTTCTACTGATGTACTCCACGGTCCTGTGCAGCTACTACAATTCGGCCCTGACAACAGCAGTGGTTGGAGCCATTAAGGTAAGTGGATGGAGCATTGGAAGGAAGAACTCAATCAGGGAATTGACTGTGAATCCAAACTTTCCCATCGTCGTGTAGTAAGATTGAAGGTGGTGACATTTTCAGTTGGGTCTGGGTGAACCCTTCTTTTTCTGATCTCCTTTTGAATAGAACAGAGGGACAACTTGCTAATTTAAAGAGGAGAGATAAATTAGGAGTGGCTAGGAAGGTACGGTCTGAGAAAATGAAATAAAAAGCTAGAAACAATCCAAATATCACTGATTACCAAGATACCTTTTGATCTATACTTTGGTTTTCTGGAAGAACCTGCTCACTAAGAAATAGAACCCTTGTGAAGAACTGTTTTCCATCTAGGTGTACACTCAATTGCAATGCAGTGAACTTGTGGATTGGTACTCGGGGCAATGTGTGCGTTTCAATACACACACACACATACGCACACGCACACGGAGGAATAGGGGATGGGGGTGTTTCAAGTTCTATTCTACTCTTGCTTTGTTTTTCTTAGAATGAGGAAACCTCCCTGCTCTAACACCTGTCACCAACCCAGAGTGTTCCTAGAAGGCATTGGGCAGTGTACTGTGTGGAATTTATTAGATATTTCTATTCCGTTCAAGTGTAGGGTGAATATGATTAAAATTTACCACCCACTGATGGTAAAGAGATAAGATTTGGCAGACTGATTACAACCCAACTCTTCCATCATTTGCCTGTGTATTAACTGGAATGGTCTTGGGGAGGTGAATAATGCAGATTTCTATAACGTGCACACCATAATTTACTTTGCTTCTTTACAAAGCCATACGTAATTTTAAAAATTCATTTATTTAACAGTCTGTGAACATCTGTGTATGCACAATAACTAAAATGTCTAGTTTCAGGTTTCACTGTGTGTATTTTCCCCTACATGCTTGACTTTTAAAATGACTAATCCTCTCTCTTTTTCTGCAGAATGTATCCATTGCCTACATCGGTATGTTAGTTGGTGGAGACTATGTTTTCTCTGTGTTAAACTTTGTAGGGTTAAATATTTGGTAAGTGGGATTTGTAAATTAATGCATTTTAGTAAAATAAGTTTAAATAGTCTGATTAATATGTAATAAGCAAAACAGCAAAGAGAATTTTACATTTTAAGCCAGGAGGTGTTTTGACATTATAATTTCTAAAAGAATTTTACTTCAATCGCTCATTTCATCTATTTTTATGACATACTTCCTTGTGTGGCCCCATGGGGACACAAGTAATGAAAATTCATGGGGCTGAGGTCTGAATTTTATTCATGGGTCTTCCCACAGAAGGTTCCCCTGGGTTATCTGTCTTTCTCAGACCAAGTGGGTCTCATTAAGCTCATGTTCTGTCAAAATGCCAGACACTAAGGATGCTGTGAGGATTGACTAAGATACTTTGGAAAGGCATTTCTGGGTACCAGATATGGGATGCCATTTAAGAATAATGGTACATGGTTTGTTGAAGAGAAACCAAGTGCTTGTTATTTCTCTCCAAGCTTCTGTGTTTCGTTTGATTACTCTTTTTCTGCCCCTCAAAGGCTTGTAAATAAAAGGGGGAAATTCTCATCAAGTAATCTACAGATTTGAAGAGCAAAACAGAGATCTGAATAATCCATTCCAGATCAAGCAGACCATATTGATAAAGATGTCAGCAACTGCTGGTTGTGGCACTGATAAAATTCCCAGTTATGTACTTTTTTTTTTTTTTTTTTTTTGCCTTTCAGCATGGCTGGGGGATTGAGATATTCCTTTTTAACTCTAAGCAGCCAGTTAAAACCGAAACAACCAGTGGATGAAGAAAACATTCCTTCAGATTTGAAGAGCTAGAGGCTGGGGCAGAATTGCAGACTGACTTGAGACACAGGACCCATGGTGAAGGGATTCTCAGCAGAAATGTGAAGCCAGAAGTTTCAGACTTGGCACATCCACCCTCTGGGTAAAGCACAAACAGGAATGTTTGCAGAATAACTACCTCACAGGCACTGCACAGTTGAGCCATCACTGGTCCTGAGAAACGTATCTGTGCAAAACCTCACCAGTGGGAAGTGACTCTTTTCAAAATAAGCCACTGGGACTTGGTAGGTAGTGTGCTGAGCGCTCACCTACAGACTTGTGTGGCCCCTTGTCCCAGTGGCATGCACTGAAGAGGAGGTTGATGTTTTAATGGTAACTATTTCCTTATCAGCATCTTGGCCTTAATTTTGAAGGCTCTGGTCAAAGCGTGGCACCAAGGAGAACAGTTTATTTCAGTTTAAACAGACATGTCTTTATTTTAATAAAATCAGCCAGTTAACTGCCCATAAAATTAGTTGTTAGCTTTGATGTAAGGTGTGTTCATATATTTTCTTAATCATCAAAGTAAAATAAAACATTTCTATGTATGCCTCATACTGTGATATTATTGTAAGCAGGCAGAAAACAAGAAATCAGTTAATCACAGAGGAGAAGAATATTCCCATCTTGGAGGGATAATTAGATAACTCCTTTTATGAATCATGTTGGGAAAGATTACCAAGTAACTCAATTGAAAGGAAATACTCAGGGTTTACCCTGTCAACATTTAAGTAGCCCCTTTCTTTGTTTCCTCTTAACTCTTTCTAGGTTCCATGGTGGGGAGGTTTAACCAAAGGTGCATGCATGTCCTCAAAGGCCAGCCTACCCCAAAGAGGGGCTTGTATGGGAAGGTGCCCTGGCTGGCTGGGGGGTCCTTTACCCTCCCCATTAGGAAATGGGCTGTCTCCATAAGTGTTGGAGTGCAGGGTGGAGACCCAGACTGGGAGTCAGGAGCCAAACCAACTAGTCCTGTCTCCACCGTTAACCTCTGGGAACCTTTGCAAATCACTTTGTCCATTGCGTGGCCTCTGGTTATCTCTTGTGAATAGTGCTGATATTAGTATGGGTATAGAAATATCTCTTCAAGATCCTGCTTTCAATTTTGTTTATATACTTAGAAGTAGAATTTCTGGATCATATGGTAATACTATTTTTAATTTGTTGAGGAACTATTATATGGTTTACCATAGTGGCTGTACCATTTTAAATATTCATCAACAAGGTTCTGATTTCTTCATATCCTCAATAATACTTCTCTCTTTCTTTCATAGTAACCATCATATTACTATTAATTTTTGTAGAGACAGGGTCTCACCACGTTTCCCAGGCTGGACTCAAACTCCTGAGCTCAAGAAATCCTCCCACCTCAACCTCTCTAGTAGCTGGAACTACAGGCATGTGCCACCATTCTTGGCTGGGTTTTGCTTTTGATTTGCATTTTCTTAACCAATCAAATCAGTAATGTTGACCATTTTTTCACATACACGTTGCCTATTTATTTGTTTACCTTCTTTAGAGAAATAGCTAACCAGTGGCCTTTGCCCAGTTCTTAAACAAGTTTTTTTTGTTGTTGTTGAGTTGTAAGAATTTTTTAGTGTTTCAATATACTTTTAAAAGGACTCTGGAGTTAGGGCTTCCAAAAACTATTATAACTATCTCCCGCTGCATCAACATTCTTCCTGAAACCTAGAAAAAAAATGCTAAGCAAAACAAACAAAACCTTTTTTTTTCCTCCAATTTTTTTTAACCTCTAATTTTCATTCTTTGAATTCTTTAAAAAAAAAAATTGTGTTGTAGGATGTTTTCACCTGCTTCCATATCTGGCCAGCAGAGGGCACCCTAGGAACAGTCCAGTAGCCCATGAGCTGGGTTGAAAGTTGCCATTTGTACTATAGCATGGAAGAACCCTGAAGGGGTGTTGCTGAAGGGAGGTCTAATTGGGCTTTTGAATCAAGGTTAGTTGGGGCTGCTGTTTGCAGAGACGTGGTACAGAAGGGATCTTCAAGCCTCAAGGATGCTGAAGAAAAAAATGTAGCCCAAAGACCAGATTTCTTTATCCTACTAAAAACGTGTACAAACCACTACTGAATGAGACAAAGAACAATTAGTTTAATTTCTTTGCATTTTGCCTACTTCTGGCCATTGCTCTGCAAATAACACACCACTTCTTTGTTTTTTTCTCAATTTTTCCTTAACAAATAATCATTGTATTCTTTATTGACACACGTTCACAGTAAGAAAATAATTTCATTTATCTGCTTATTGATGAAGTAGAAAAATATTATTTATATATTGTTTTCTTTTTTCAGAGATGAGTAATAGTTTATTACTTATAAGCAACAGCAATAGCCAGAATACCTGCATTTTTGTTTTGTTTCCTCTACCTCCAGTGATACTTCCCTTAGAAGAATGGTCTCCAGTTCTATCCAGCTTATTACAAAAGGTAATAGTTCACCATTGTTTATGGTTGAGTAGTATGCCATGGTGTGTGTGTGTATGTGTATATATATATGTATATACACCCTAATAGTTCATCATTGTTTATGGTTGAGTAGTATGTCATATGTATATATATGTATATACACCCTAATAGTTCATCATTGTTTATGGTTGAGTAGTATGTCATATGTATATATATATATATATACACACATACATATATGATATATATCATATTTTATCAATCCGCTCATGTATTGATGGGCACTTGGGTTGGCTACACATCTTTGCGATTATGAATTGTGCTACAATAAACATTTGAGTGCATGTGTGTTTTTGATTAAAAATGACATTTTTTCATTAGGTAAATATCCAATAGTGAGATTGCTGGATCAAATGGTAGGTCTACTTTTAGTTTTTTGCAGTATCTTCATATGACTTTCCATAGAAGTTGTACTAGTTTGCAGTCCTACCAATAGCGTGTAAGTGTTACTTTCTTTCCACATCTACACTAGCATCTGTTTTTTTTTTTTTTTTTTGAGACAGAGCCTCATGCTGTCCCCCTGGGTAGAGTGCTGTGGCATCACAGCTCACAGCAACCTCCAACTACTGGGCTCAAGCGAGTCTCCTGCCTCCTCCTCCCAAGTAGCTGGGACCACAGGCGCCCACCACAACGCCAGGCTATTTTTTGGTTGCAGCCATCATTGTTGTTTGGTGGGTCTGGGCTGGATTCGAACCTGCCACCTTAGGTGTATATGGCTGGCGCCTTAGCCACTTGAGCCAGAGGCACCAAGCCAGCATCTGTTGTTTTAAGGTTTTTTTTTTTTTTTTAAATAAAAGCCATTCTCACTGTAGTTATGATCATCTCAATGGACCATATGATCAAATCAATAGACATAGGGAAAGCATTTGACAAAATTCAGCACCCTTTTATGAGAAGAACCCTTAAGAAAACAATCACAGGTAGAACATACCTCAAAATTATAAAAACTCTATATGACCTACAGCCAACATCATACTGAATGGAGACAAATGGAAAGTGTTCCTGCTTAGATCTGGAACTAGGTAAGTTTTCCCACTGTCACTGCTTCTGTTTAACATAGTACTAGAAGTCCTAGCCAGAGAAATCAGACAAGAGAAGGAAAGAGGATATCCAGTGGAAACTACTCTTTACTGATGATAGATCTTATCTTTATAAAACCCCAAAATTCTTCTAAGAGACTCCTAGCATTGATAAATTCAGCAGAGTCTCAGGATACAAAATCAATAGCATTCTTATACATCAGCAATAGTTAAGTGAGAATCAAACCAAAGACTCAATACCTTTCACAATAGCAACAAAGAAAATAAAATACCTGAGAATATATTTAAGGAAGTAAGAGACCTCTACAAGGAGAACTATGATTTACTGAAGAAGGAAATCCCAGAGTATGTAAACAAATGGAAGTATATTATACTCATGGATTGGCAGAATCAACATTGTTTTTTTTCTTTTTTATTAAATCATAGCTGTGTACATTAATACTATCATGGGTTACAGTGTGCTGTTTCCATACACAATTTGAAATACCTTCATCCAACTGGTTAACATAGCCTTCATGTCATTTTCTTCGTTATTGTGTTAAGACATTTATATTCTACATTTAGAGAGATTCACATGTACCCTTATAGGATGAACCATAGGTATGATCCCACCAATCACCCTCCACCCATCCCCCTCCCTCCCTTCCCCTCCCTCTCCCCTTTCCCCATATTCTTGGGCTAAAATTGGATTATAGCTTTCCAATGAAAGCTATATATTAGTTTCATGGTAGGGCTGAGTACATTGGATACTTTTTCTTCCATTCTTGAGATACTTTGCTAAGAAGAATATTTTCCAGCTCCATCCATGTAAACATGAAGGAGGTAAAGTCTCCATCTTTCTTTATGGCTGCATAGTATTCCATGGTGTACTTATACCACAGTTTATTGATCCATTCGTGGATCGATGGGCACTTGGGCTTCTTCCATGACCTAGAAATTATGAATTGGGCTGCAGTGAACATTCTGATGCAAATATCTTTATTGTAGTGTGATTTTTGGTCTTCTAGATATATACCTAGTAGAGGAATTATAGGATCAAATGGCAGGTATATTTTTAAATCTCTAAGAGTTCTCCAGAAGTCTTTCCAAAAGGAATGTATTAGTTTGCAATCCCACCAGCGTGTAGAAGTGTTCCCTTTTCTCCACAACTATGCCAGCATCTTTGATTTTGTGATTTTGTGATATGGGCTAATCTTACTGGTGTTAGATATCTCAAAGTAGTTCTGATTTGCATTTCTCTGATGATTAAGGATGATGAGCATTTTGTCATATATCTGTAGGCCATGCCCCTGTCTTTTTCAGAGAAGTTTCTCTTCAAATCCCTTGCCCACCCTGAGATGGGATCACTTATTCTCTTCTTGCTAATAAGTTTGAGTTCTCTGTGGATTCTGGTTATGAAACCTTTGTCAGAGACATAACCTGCAAATATCTTCTCCCATTCTGAGGGCTGTCTGCTTGCTTTACTTACTGTGTTCTTGGCTGTGCAGGAGGTTTTTAATTTGATGAGGTCCCAGTAGTATATTTTTGATGTTGCTTCAATTGCCTGGGGTGGGGGGGGTCCTCCAATAAAATTTTTACCCAGGCCAATTTCTTCAAGTGTTTTCTCTACACTTTCTTCTAGTATTTTTCTAGTTTTGTGTCTTAAGTTTAAATCTTTAATCCAGTGAGTCTATCTTAGTGGTGAAAGGTGTGGATCCAGTTTCAGTCTTCTGCAGGTCACCAGCCAGTTCGCCCAGCACCATTTGTTAAATAGGGAATCTTTTCCCCATTCAATGTTTTAATTTGGCTACGTTCAAAAATCATATAACGGTAAGTAGCTGGGTTCATCTCTTGGTTCTCTATTCTGTTCCATACATCTACCTCTGTTTTTGAGCCAATACCATGCTGTTTGATCACTATGGATTTATAGTATAGTCTGATGTCTGGTAGTATGATTCCTCCTGCTTTGTTTTTATTTCTGAGTAATGTCTTGGCTATTTGAGGTTTTTTTCTAATTCCATATAAAATGAAGTATTATTTTTTCAAAGGCCTTTAAAGTATAACAATGGAACTTTAATAGGGATTGCATTAAAATTATATATTGCTTTGGGTATTATGGACATTTTAACAATGTTAATTCTTCTCAGCCATGAGCATGGTATGTTTTTTCATTTGTTAACATTTTAAGCTATTTCTTTTCTTAGTGTTTCATAGTTCTATTTATAGAGATCTTTCACGTCCTTTGTTAGGTAAACTCCCAAATATTTCATCTTTTTTGGCACTACTGTAAATAGAATAGAGTTCTTAACTATTTTTTCAGCTTGACTCTTGTTGGTAACCTAAATATTGTACCCCCATATTAATTTGAAAAAGAGAAAAAATATACTCAAAAGAAAAGAAAAAAGAACTAAGGAAGATAATTACCTACTTATTGCTTGTTTTCTAAGGATCAAATAAAATGGAAATACAAAAGATTTGAATTTGAATGTCAATATAATGTTATAATTCTTAGTATCATTAGTGGTGAGTATAGGCTTTGGGGGGAGA